AGAGAGACTCGAGAGAAGCCGATCGACGACCGGCGATGAACGCAAAGAAATTTAGAAAGGGCGCGAGGGTGGAATAGCCCGGAGGTGTGGAGTCTCGATTTGAAAGGGCGCAGATCAGGTGGAAAATTACCGGCGTGATCAAAGAAACTGCGAATCGCTACAGGGGCGAGGGGGTGGGGGAATAAGATTTTCCTTTTATTGGAACACGTCATGGGAATTCGCTGTTTGCCTGGCATTAGTGTACAGCCTCGATGGAAGACGGGGTTTGCAGAAATATTTGTAAATGAATGGGAATTTATTAATATTTCGAGACGTGTAATTATAAAATGAGTATAATTATAGACGTAGTATACAGGGTGGACCGGAAATCGTAGTAAAATCGGGCAGGGGATGATTCTATGTTAAAAACGAAGAAAATATTTTGGTATAACATTTTCTCATCTGGGACTCCGTTTTCGAGAAAATCGAGTTTAAAGTTTGTTCAACTTGTAAACGATTTAGTACAACTTGGTGAAATTAATGATTCTTGACATGTGTCATTCTTCAAATTTTTATTGAATACTTTCATATTTAAGATTTCCTGCTGCATATACACAGCCAAGTAATATTTCGTAGTACATAAATAGATCGGTAATGATATTATATTAAAAATGTAGAAAATGAAATGAATTTCTGAAATTAAATTATACTACTGCTGTTCGTACAATGGTAAAGAAAGTGCTGAAAATTTACCACAATTTTCTTTTCCAGCTAAATTACCGTGAACAGCGACCATAAAAATGTTTGAATTCGCTGTTCTGTAAGAAACAACAAATGTTTCAAAAAGAATAATTATCCTTATTTTACTAAGCCTGAATAAATTTAAATGAATTTTACTAAGTATACTTTCAGTAAGAACGTTCAAAGTGACATCTTGAATTTCATATTAAATATGAATGGAGAGCCTCTCTCTTTCGGGAGTTCTTGAACTTCTTTTGCCATTCAATAGTATAATATAAAAGTTAAAAGAACAAAGGTGCCCTCCAGTTTTGAAACTTCTCGTAATTACGACGAAAATACAGAAATATAATTCTCCAGCGTCGAAACTCAAAGCTGCTCGTTTAAAAACTTCAAAGAGACGTGTAAATAAATAATACACACTCATCTCGCTACATCGTCTTTCCAACACCTGGTGGTTTAAAATGTCAAAAAGGTGTACAAATAAACAGTACATAATTATTGTATCATACATTCATCTTATTATGTTCCTTTGCAACAACAACATCCATTATATCCTCAAACGATAATTTAAACCTGAATGTTTAAAAATTCCAAAAGACGTGCAAGTAAACACAATACACAATTATTATTCATTTTACTACATCTTTTTTCAACAACAATCTCTATTATGTTTCCCAATAATAATTTACACCTGATCGTAAAAAATTTCAAAAGGACGTGCAAATAAACACAATACATATAAGTACAATCTCTATTATGTCCCAAACTGATAATTTAAACCAGTTCGTTTAAAATTTCAAAAAGACGTATACAAGCAAACACAATATGCAATGATTCTACATTCATTTCGCTACGTCCGCTTTCAACAATACCCTCAATTACGTCCCCGATTGATAATTTGCACCCGTTCGTTTAACCTTTCAAAAGAACGTGCAAATAAACACAATATACAATCTTCATTATGTTCCCAAATGATAATTTCTACCATGTCATTTAAAATTTCAAAAAGACACGCAAATAAACACAATATACAATAATTGTCCGTTTATCTCGTCACGTCCCCTTTCAACAACAACCTCAATTACGCGTTCCAAATTACAATTTAATTGAAATAAAAACCTAATTACAAGGTACACGAGGGGAGTTTCAAAAGTGGTACCGATTATCAAACTGTCCGTTTTTGCTCCGAAATGTAACCATGGTCATAATTACCGACCGACGCGGCAACAAACTTTCAGCGTCTGGTCGGCCGCATGAAAATTTCGCTGCACAGGTGGTCGTTTTAGTTCGGCTCGATTTAAATCGACGCCGAGAGCATCGAAGGTGGGGGCCCTTTAATTCGATTTCCACGGTAACTCGATATTCTCAGCCGTGTCCCCGGCGCATGGAACATTTAAAACGAGCCACCCAGTATGTGTGGCAGCTGCGCGCGCGACGCAACAGCTGACGCTCGGCGCGTACGTAGGAAAGTGGGCGCATTGTAATTTCATTGTTTGCGCTTTGGAGGAGAACTCACGTTCACAGACGGGTTGCTGGGTCGTCTCTGTTCCGATGTGTTTCGGCGGGACCGTGTGGTTATTGAATAATTACGCGGTCTGGAGGCACGTAATGGCTCCCGAATAATTATTAATACGCGGCCATCGCGGCGGCGATCATGGATCACCACGAAGTCATGCTCGAATTGGTAGCAAACAATATCGATTCTAGTACAAGTTTATAGAATATGGAAATAATTTGGTCTTTATACAATTTAATATGGTTTTTGTTATCTTTAGTATTTAGTATTAAGGATATTGAAAATTTTGGTCACTATATTTACCACGGTTCTCGGCGAGTTGTGGTTACGATTCTGCTATATTTATCGATACTGTCGAAGATTATAGAATTTGGAAATAATTTGGTCTTCATACGATTTAAGATGGTTTTTGTTATCTTTAGTATTTAGTATTAAGGATATTGAAAATTTTGGTCACTATATTTACCACGGTTCTCGGCGAGTTGTGGTTACGATTCTGCTATATTTATCGATACTGTCGAAGAGTATAGAATTTGGAAATAATTTGGTCTTTATACGATTTAAGATGGTTTTTGTTATCTTTAGTATTTAGTATTAAGGATATTGAAAATTTTGGTCACTATATTTACCACGGTCCTCGGCGAGTTGTAGTTAAGATTCTGCTATATTTATCGATACTGTCGAAGAGTATAGAATTTGGAAATAATTTGGTCTTTATACGATTTAAGATGGTTTTTGTTATCTTTAGTATTTAGTATTAAGGATATTGAAAATTTTGGTCACTATATTTACCACGGTCCTCGGCGAGTTGTAGTTAAGATTCTGCTATATTTATCGATACTGTCGAAGATTATAGAATTTGGAAATAATTTGGTCTTCATACGATTTAAGATGGTTTTTGTTATCTTTAGTATTTAGTGTTAAGGATATTGAAAATTTTGGTCAGTATATTTACCACGGTTCTCGGCGAGTTGCGGTTAAGATTCTGCTATATTTATCGATACTATCGAAGATTGTAGAATTTTGAAATAATTTGGTCTTTATATATAGAAGTAAAATATTTTAGAATTATTCATTTCAGTCATTCTGTGCTGAGAGCCTCCGAGAGGTATCCTGATGAATGTTAAGGAATCCAAGATAAACGACACACCCCGTATAATCACACAAGATTCACAGTCTAATCATACGTGTTAGATCGTTCTACCTTTTCTACAGCCATCAGATGAGTAACATTGCCATCTGACGCACGTTTGATAATGTTCAGAGTAAAATTACAATGTAACGGTCTCCGAACGATAGCATCGAATCGGTATCGTTCCCATCGCGAGCGATTCCATCGTCGCTGAACCGAACGTGTACCAAGTGAGTTTCGCGATTATAGGGGACACCGATACAAGAAACCACGACGAGTGCCTCTTCCCTTTCGCGTGGGTGCGTGTAATTCGCATTGTTTCACCTCGTTACCGTTCGTTCGCGTAACAAATCGATCCGCAGCGGCGGCCACGGTTCAAGCTTAATTAATTTTCCGCCGCGATGTTTATCGCACGGCCGCAATGTCAACCCGACGTTTCAATAAAAAAGAAAGAAAAAAAAAACGTAATTGGCCCCACGTCGAGCGAATCGGTTGCGCATCGTGCTCACTCGTCACGATAACGAACGAGCCATCCAGAGCGATTACTTTGATTGGAAACGCACGAAACCCGTGGATTCCCGCGGAAGTGCGCTTGTAATAGGGATTGTTGAAGTAGAGCAGTGGTTCCCAACCTTTTCTAAAGTGCGGAACCCCATTGCGAGTAAAATTTTTTGCCAACACTTACCTAAATTACAATGAAATAAGTTTGTTGTCTATTATGTAGTTTATTGATACTATTAGTAAAATAAATCCGAAGCATCTTTTACACGCAAACAGTAATTTTAGGTAAGATAATAATAGCAATGCCTTGCCATTTATCCAATTATCGCGGAACACTTTCGAAATGCTTACGGAACACAGGTTGGGAACCACTGGTGTAGAGAAATGCGTATTTTATTATTGGTATAGATTACTCGTAATTTTTTGTACATATACCTATAATATTCGATTGAAACATAAAATTACAGTTTGAGGGATATTTAGGGGACGATCGATTTTACTAACAAGGGAATGTATCGAACCCAGACACACCGATTTTGATGCCCCCTATATGGGATATAGTTTGCGAAAAAATATTTGGCACGTATTTTTTTATATCGGCCATCGTCTATATTGAAGGGGTGAAAACAGCCCTCAAAGTTGGAGGTTTAAAACATAGTTTTTTGGAATATCTCGGGAACTAGAAGGTATATATTTTTAATAAATTATTTAAACAAATAAATTTAAAGAAAACCGTTTAGATGATTACATTCTCCATTAAAAAACACACAATTTACAAAAAAAAAATGTTTATACTCTAGTTCCCGAGGTATTCCAAAAACTATGTTTTAAAGCCCCAACGTTGAGGGCTGTTTTTACCCCTTCAATATGGACGATGGCCGATATAAAAAAATACGTGTCAAATATTTTTTCGCAAACTATATCCCATACAGAGAGCATCAAAATCGGTTTGTCTGTGTACGATATATTCCCTTGTTAAAAAAATCGATCGTCCCCTAAATATCCCTAAAACGGTAATTATCTGTTTCAATCGAATATCAGCCGTCACCGGAAGAAGAGCATACCAATCGATTACGAGTGCCGAAACGGGTTAAGAATAACTCGAATCAAATGGTATCCGGTTAGGGGGGATGTAACGTAGACGGAACGAAAGTCCATTTAAAACGTTGAACAACGCGGACGAAATATCGATTTAGTTGGTAAGTTCACTGACCTTGTGATGAGAGGAATGGCCCGTGTGATTGGCGGAGGTGTGATTTCCGGCGGGAAGAGATGCCAGGTCCTCGATGGTTAGCTCCGCTAAGGCGTCGTTCCCGCCGCTGCAACCGCCTAGCAAGCCGCCCGCAACGCCGCCGCTTCCTGGACTGCCCCCGATGCAACCTCCATCCGACCTTACGACGTTCGCGGAGGGCCTCTTCTGCACCCTCCTCGTGGTCACCAGTTCCTTCACCCCTGACAACTCACGCCTCGAACCACCCACGTATCTGAAAACATCACGCGCCGTTTCTGTTATTATTCACGCCTCGACTGTTGTACGAGCGTACGTAAATATACAGGGTGTTCAAAAATAGCATCGACTCTTTGAAATAAGGGATTCTTCGGATGATTTGGAAAAACTTTTTCCTTAGCGAAAATGTTATCCGAGGCTTTGTTCACGAGATATTAACGAAAGACCACGACCCAATCGGAGAGCGAGTCTGGCGGCCGAGCTTCCGCTGTAGCGCGCTGCGATTGGTAGCCAACGTTACCGCGGGAACTCGGCTGGTAGACTCGCGCTCTGATTGGTCGCGGTTTTTCGTTGATATCTCGTTAACAAAGCTTCGGATAGCATTTTTGCTAAGGAAAAAGTTGTTTCAAATCACCTCGCTAGTCTCCCATTTCTGGGTCCTCCAACATTTTTGTTATACACTGTGTGGGCTGCGAAAAGCTTAACAATTTTACCTGTATTTATATGTAATACTAGAACTACCAAGCAAGTCAAAATGCTGTGTCAACGATGATTAAAATGTCATAGCTGGACTGCGAACTTTATGCATTTATAGAGTGTGCAATCGTCTAAAGGTCAATACATTAAAAAGGTTCGAAAGTTTATTCAGGTTTTCTGTTCATTTTGAACCTGCGGGAACCCTTCGCAGAGTAAATAAATTTTTAGTTGCGTCCAGTTTCGAGAAATTGAACCATTAAAAATTTACATTTGCATCTAGTTAGAACAATACATTTCCTCAGATCTTTTGCAATTTTTATTACGCGGTATGAAAGCGAAGAAGTTAGTTAATTGCAAAAATTTGTAAATTTTCAGAAGTTTATCATGCTCATCGACCGATCGAAATAGATATGCGTTTACCGTTGGTAGTTCTAGTGTTAAGTGTATGTATTAACGAAGGACCGAAAAATGTTTACTTTCATACTTTATAGGATTTGTTGTATTGGATAATTAATATTCCTTATTAGTTTCCATCAACCCACGTCACTCTGACGGAATAATAATTCTCAATTCAAATTATCCCATAACCTCGTCACAAGACAAGTGGATTAATCGGTGCGAAGGTCGTAAGTTCAGTTCAACCGGCCGAGTGCATTTTGAAACAGTGACAGACACCGTCACGGTACCATAATGGCAGAACTTTTCCATTTACAGTCGTCCCGGATAAGATAACGCGAGGGAATATAAAGTTGGATGCGCTAGACAATGCCCGGGCAATGCAGTCGGTTTTACAAAGAACCCGCGCTGACGAAACGATGGAAACGTTTCGAAAGACACGGACGAGAGCCCACTGCCACCATCGGTGTGTTGCCCACGGACCGTGCCAAATGAGGGTGGATTTGAATTCGTATAGAAGTCGGTACTATTAGCGAGATTAGATCCTGCTGGGCAATCCACTCGGACGGACACCGGACTCCCCGGTCCAGTAAAGCTGTTCGAAATCGATCAATTGCTGTCCGCCCCGTTCTATCACTGTCCTCGTTCTGTGAATCGGGCTTTACGTGCTGGACGTCGATTAAAAGTGGACAAAAGTTATCGAATTTTCGTTGCTTTTCGTTAACGGTACCGACGTAAGAGCTTCGATGTACAGTTGAGATACATAAAAACGGACATATTCAATATGATTTTTGAAAACGAATTCTACATTAATATTTGCGTTTTTTAAATTGAGTAAACAGAAAAAATATTATAAAAAAATTATCTTTTAAAATAATAGATAAGAGGGATTTAATTAAAAAAATTATCTACCATTGGAATTATAATGAATATTTACGTCTGACAATTAATTGCGAATTGGATTGACTTTGTATGAAAAATGATCCTCAATGATAGCTTGAAGATATTATTATCGTAAAATGTGTTACCAAATTATTCAAAAGTTCATTTTTCTATTAATCCTCCGCGAACCCCATTATTTGATCATTAACATATCATTTTTCCGTGCCATCACAAACTCCGTAAAAAAATCTATAACCACTTAATTTTTTGTATGAAAATATCCTTTTTTTATAGCTAAATAAGAAGTGATTAACATCCCAGTATCAACTACATTTCCATAAGGTTCGTGTTAAAAAGACATGTATATAACGTTTCTTTCTCAACAATTTCATCGTTGACCTTGCGATTTGTTAGTAGCAATCGAAAATTGAAGCTGTTAAGAATGTTCTGTTAAATATTTAACTAAATCCATGATTATTACAAATTTACGGAAACCACATTAAGCTGATTAAGAAAGATATTCTCCGTCGATTTCCCGCGGTCAGTATCTCGGCTAATTAGCCAGTAAGTAGTAGAAGTCAATGGTTCGACGGACGATCGCGGTAAGGACGCGTTCGTTTCACGTTCCCGAGGACGCCACCGGTAACAAATTCGCTGACGCAAATCCTAGGCAGTCTCGTGGACTCTGTGCGATTAATAATTCACGAATCACGCGCTCGGGATTAGGATTACTGCGCTTACGTGAGCGCATCGCCGACTGCGAGACTTTACTAGCTAATGCGATTAACGCACTACGCTTTTTACATTGCATTCCCCTGTGAGCCGTCCCGTTTACTTTTCTCTGGTATCAGAGGACTTATCCCCGTGTTGAACAATAACGACCCTAATTTCAGTCTGATTTTTCACTTTCTCTGGTATCAGAGGACTTATCCCCGTGTTGAACAATAACGACCCTAATTTCAGTCTGATTTTGCACAATATTTTCCGTCGTTACAACGTGCCCAGTGTAAACGGATGGATTTAAATACTGGAGTCTATGATCGATGTTGTTTTTTTTTCTTATTTCGTATTTTTTTATGTTTTCAGAGGACTTATCTCTGTGTTGAACAATAACGACCCTAATTTCAGTCTGATTTTTCACAATATTTTCCGTTGTTACAACGTGCCCAGTGTAAACGGATGGATTTAAATACTCGAGTCTATGATCGATGTTTTTTTTTCTAATTTCGTATTTTTTGGTGTTTTCAGAGGACTTATCTCTGTGTTGAACAATAACGACCCTAATTTCAGTCTGATTTTTCACAATATTTTCCGTTGTTACAACGTGCCCATTGTAAACGGATAGATTTAAATACTGGAGTCTATGATCGATGTTTTTTTTTTCTAATTTCGTATTTTTTGGTGTTTTCAGAGGACTTATCTCTGTGTTGAACAATAACGACCCTAATTTCAGTCTGATTTTTCACAATATTTTCCGTTGTTACAACGTGCCCATTGTAAACGGATAGATTTAAATACTGGAGTCTATGATCGATGTTTTTTTTTTCTAATTTCGTATTTTTTGGTGTTTTCAGAGGACTTATCTCTGTGTTGAACAATAACGACCCTAATTTTAGTCTGATTTTTCACAATATTTTCAGTTACAACGTGTCCAGGATAAATTGATGGTTTTACAGTGACTCACAAGTTTGTCCACAATAAACTGTTGTTATTTCACCAAATTATTTACCAAAATGCGAATTTTATTTCAAAATTAAGAAGAATTCATCACAAAAAGATAATAACAGTAATGGTAAGAAGAATTTATAAATAGAAATTGCATATAAGTTTTGATACCTAATTGCTATTTCGGAAGTCTGTGAACGAATGCGTGAGTCACTGTAAATCCTGGAGTCTTTGTAACGGATACAGTTTTGCTTCTGTCTTGGTATTTTTGGATGTTTTGAGAGTTTTATTTTGATGACTGTGATTGGTGACCGGTGGTTTTATAAAAAGATATTCGACCTTTAAATAGAAAGTTTTAAAGCTTGGTGAATATAATTAATAACTGAAAAACGATCCAAGTGAAAAGTGTAGAATCAACAGAAATATTTATTTCGTAGCAGAACCTCACATAGAATATTTCATTATGATATTTTACCAGTAGTAAGAGTTTGGGCTATTATTAAAAGAAATTTTCAAATTTAATAGTCTCTTTTTAAGACTAATTTTATGGAGTCATAAATTATGTTACAACAATTTCCATTACCTGATTCTATTCTGACGTTAATAAGCTTCAAATAATATATTTCTAAATAGTTCCCTTGATCTACTGTGTGTCCCATTCGAAATGAAAATAAACTATATTTTTACACACTTCCACAATTGTAATTTCGTTCACTCGGCAAAATTTCATTCCGATGTTTGAATTGAAGCAACGTCTAAACTTGATCGCCAACAAAAATATTTTTGTTAATTTGCGTTCAGAAATAACCAAGAAACATATTCAATGCAACTCGGACACCGAGAGTGAAAGCGAAATGACTACAGACACTGTTGAAGTACACCAATTTCACTTTCATCCTCTTCATGAATATTCCAAATTCATTTACAAGTATCAACACAAATTGTTTCGTATAAAAGTCACTCGAGGATAATAAATTACTTTAATGAACATCGTCTTATTTCATATACTCTACAATTACAAATAAATATTTTCATGAAATTCGAGGAAAGTTTTGGGTCGCGTGTAAAATGGGACCACGATTCTACACTTCCATTCAAGAAGAAAGAAAGTGAAGTGAAGAAAGAAGTGGAGAAAGTAGCAGTTATGTGTCTCTTTGAAGATTCTCATTTTCTGAAAAAAGACTTCCTTCTTACCATTAACTTTCTTTTAATCTTCAATTTGGAATAATATTGAAGAGAAATATTTTTGTAATACAGTATTTCATGGTGTTTATGTTTTGACACTTTCAGTACCAAGTACTCCAAGGACAGTAGCTGTCTTTATCTTACTACAATATATTTAAAAAATCCATTGTCCTTACAGATCCACTTCATCCCTCTACATTACCCCCAGTTCAAACACAAAACACAATGAACACAGAAAAGAATGTAAAGAAAAGTACAACACCTCCTCCAAGAACCCCAAAGATCAGCCCACGAGACCACAGCTTCTCCTCCACCGCGAGCAGACAAATAATTCCAACCCAGGAAACCTTTGATCCCAATAACATCCCTGCACCCACCTCTTTCCACACGATACAATCTTAACAATACCCCGACACACGATCAAAACTTCCA